CTCCTCCTCCTCCTCCTCCTCCCCCGAATACCTTCCCCTCATTCGAAGGCTCCGCCCTCCTCCGAACATCTCTATACCGTTTTCAAGCCTTCCCCTGCCCTGAAAGCCAGTTGGGTGTGGCAGCGCGACGAGCCCTTCCCGAACAAAACCTCCAGGATGGTTTTTATTTGATTCTTGAGGGGGGCGGGTCCTTCAATAAAGCCCATCCAGAAGGGGGGTTTGGGCTGCTGGAGGGGGTGGGTCGTTCAAAAGAACTCCATCCAGGAATAGTTGCTTGGGGATCTTGGAGGGGGGATTCCTTCAAACTAAATCTTCCGGGAAGGGTTTTTTGGATCCTCGAAGCGGGGGCTCGTTGAAACAATGATCCATCAGTTTTTTGGGATATTGGAGGGAGGGGTCGCTCAAACAACCCCTCCAGGATGGTCTTTGTTGATCCTGAGGGGGGCGGGGGCGTTTAAAACAAATCCGTCAGGAGGATTTTATTGGATCCTGCAGGGGGGGGCGTTCAAAAAAAACCTCCAGGCGGAAGTTTCAGAATCCTGGAGGGAGGGTTCGTTCAAAAAACCGTCCCCGGGAGGTTTTTTTTTTACTCCTGGAGAGATGGTTCGCTTCAGCAGATAACGTCCAGGAAGGATTTGTTAGATCTTGGAGGGGGTTCGTTCAAAAGAGCCCTTCCTGGCCCCTCCTGGCCCCTCCTGACCCCTCCTCAGAAAGGCTCCCGCCCCCCGAACCTCCCCGGGAACCCCTCCTGACCCCTCTTCAGAAGGAGTCCCAGCCCCCGCACCCCCCCATGAACTTCTGCTGACCTCTCATGGTGCCTCCTGATCCCTCCCCATAGGGGTTCCCACCCCCCGACCCTCACCCGGGAACCCCTCCCGACCCCTCTTGACCCCCCCAGGACGGCTTATTTGGATCCTGGAAGGAGGGTTCGTTCAAAAACCATCTCCAGGAGGTTTTGTTTTGATCCTGGATGGGGGTTTGTTCTAAACGCGTATCCAGCAGGGCGTATGTCGGATCCTGGAAGGGGGGTTCGTTTAACAAAAACTCCTCCAGGAGAGTTTCCGGAGATCCTGGAGGGGGGACTTGTTCAAAAAATCCATCCAGGAATGGTTTTTTGAGAGGGGTTCGTTCAAACAAAAACTTCCTGACCCCTCCTGGCCCCTCCTGATCCCTCTCAGAAGGGTTCCCGCCACCCGAATTCCCCCCTGGGAACCCCTTCCTGGCCCTCTCCTGACCCCTCCTGACCCTTTTTCATGCGACGAGGGGTCTCAACACAATCCACGGGCAGCTCGAACATGCCCAAGACGGCTCAAGGCAGCCGAAACGCCCCCCCCCCTCCCAGACGGGGCCCAGGGAGCCCGAAGAGCTTAGGACGGGCCCTCGGAGGCCCCCAGGAAACAAATCATGGATTATCCATGTGACTCTAAAGGTACTTGGTTGCCTTTCCTCCTCTCAGGGCGCCCACGGCGGGCCAAGCGGTCGCCAGCATGGTTTCAGTATGGCCCCAAGTGTCCCAAGAGGCCGCCAAGATGGTTTCACTATGGCCCACGAGAGCCCCAAGACGCCCCAAGAGGGCCCCCAGACGGCTCACGAGGGTCCGACACGGCCTTGAGAAGGCCCAAGCCAAGACAGCCTTCTGACGCCCCAGTGACCCCCGAGACGTCCAAGAGCGGCCGTTGTGGCCCAAGAAGGCCCGAAGACGGCTCCAAAAGCCCCCAGGGCGGCCCCTCCAGCATGCGTCCAACAGGCGTCAAGAGCGTCCAAAATGGCCAGATGAAGCAATTCCGTGGCCTCGTTGGCTGGAAGGCAATGTTGGATCGAGGCATACAGTCGCACTGCCATGAAGCAGGTTCGCACATTGTGTTCCAGCTCTTGACCAGGATGAGGCGGGCCAAAGAGTCTACGCTTCGTTGCCATGGCCGCCTCAGCAAATGGGAGTTGATCCCGACATCAACCGACCACTGAGGCATACGAGAAGAAGGTGGATAAAAGGGGAAACCAGTATTAGAAGATTTGTCGCGAAGAACGGCGTGGGGAAACGGAGCGCAATTGCAAGTGACAGGGCCGCTTGGAGCTCCCTGGGAGAGGGCTTCGCTACATGGTTTTCTGCACGAGTCTTCCCGCGAGAGCTTTTCTTAATCGAGCTTCCCCATCTAATTGAGACTCGTCTCACCTTCGCCGCCAAGTTGCCCGGTGTGCGATCTTGTGTTCGCTGGGCCCCGCGCGGGCTTCGATCGGAGACACAGCCCGGAAAATTTGGGGAGCCCGACCACAGGGATATCTCTTCGCCGCGCGCCCGCGCACGTTCCGATGACGGGCGAGAGCTGGATGGCGGGCGCTCCCAGCTGCCACCGGTCATATTCTTGTTGCATCCTCTCGGTTCTCATCTCGTCCACCTGACTGTGGCTTGGTCACGGCAGGGCATCCTGACGATCAGGCAGGTAGTTTAGTTCAGACTGCCACCGGTCATATTCTTGTTGCATCCTCTCGGTTCTCATCTCGTCCACCTGACTGTGGCTTGGTCACGGCAGGGCATCCTGACGATCAGGCAGGTAGTTTAGTTCAGACAGCTTGTTCTGGCGGAGTTTAGACGCACAGGTGTGCATCTCGTTGGGTTGGGGTTATTTCGATCACCGGGTCTCACACTTAACTGCCGCATGATGTTGTTTCGATGATGCCATTATTCCCATTTCAGCATCGAGAGGTCGAGAGTGTCCGAGCATATGAATTAATGGTTTCAGCACTTCGACGACAAATGCTGTCGCGGGTTAACTGTATTAGATGGTCATAGTTCTCAGCGTAGTACATTGCCCGGAGTTTACGCTGATTGTGCAGAGTCGGGCGTGACGGATCATGCTGCGCCGCTTGTCCTTTGGTCGTGGCGTTGTCGTCTCGCACGGCGCTTTGCGCGCTGTGCTTCTGGGAAGTCGTGATCACCGCCCGCCTCTGGCGTCCGCCCCCTCGGGCGGCCGCCGCCTCGGCCCGCCCCGTGCGGCAGCGAAAGAGGAGGAGGAGGAGGAGGAGGAGGTGGAGGGGGAGGTGGAGGGGGAGGAGGAGGAGGAGGAGGAGGAGGGGGAGTAGGAGGAGGAGGAGGAGGAGGAGGAGGAGGAGGAGGAGCAGGAGGAGGAGCAGGAGGAGGAGGAGGAGGAGGAGGAGTTGTGGCCGAGCGTTGCGGCAAGAGCTGTGCCAAGCTATCGGACCATGTGTTCCCCCAGCCGTTGTGGAAACCCTTCAGTGAACACTTGGGGGAGGATGGCGGGGAAGATCAGGAGGATGAGAAGGAGGAGGAAGAGGAGGGGACATCTACTCTTGGGGCCCCCTGAGAGCTCCCTGGGAGCCTCTTGGAGGCATCTTGGGGGCCTCCTTGGGCCTCGTGGGGGCCTTTGGGGGCTTCTTGGGGGCCTCTTTGGCCTTTCTGGGGCATTCCTGGCCCGTCTGACGCCGTCGGATGCCGTCTTGGGGTTCGAAGCAGGTTCGGGAGAGTTTTAGCAGGAGCGTTCTTAGCAGAACGACGGTATACACAAGGAAGAGGAAAACGGGGGCATGAGGAGAGAAGGGGGGAGCAACTGAGTAGCATGATAATGGTGCAGTCAAACGAAAGTGCGTTATCATGTGTTATATCGGGCTTGCTGGAGCCATCACCATGCACACTTTTTAGTTGTGAGGATTGGGCCAGGAAGTACCAAGTTGATTCAAACTCTGGAACATTTCCAGACGAGCGCCTGCGCGCGTCCTCAAGCGGTTGGCCCGAATGTGGCATGCCGACTGCCCCGCCGCACGATATTTTGCCTGCTTTTGTGCGCAAATTCGGGTGCGCACTGGAGCACTTCGCTTTCCTTTCAAAACGAGGACGAGGAGGATGAGGATGAACCCGTTTCTCTCCCCCCGCCCCCACATCCTGAGTGGGTGTCTGGTTTTTTTTCAGCACGCCCCTTCACAGGGCCCTTCCCCTCTCCGCTTACACTCATAATGTTTATCGTGATCTTTCTCATCATCACCACCCGTCAACACAACATTACCACCATCATCACAGCATTCCACGGCCGCACACTCACATCATCACCATCACCATCACCATCACCATCGCCATCATCAGCATCATCAACATCATCATCATCATCATCAGCATCAGCATCAGCATCAGCATCATCATCATCATCATCATCATCATCATCATCATCATCATCATCATCGCCGTCGCCATCGCCATCGCCATCACCATCATTATTATTATTATCATCATCCGTGCCCCCACACTCTTATACACTTACGCACTCGCGCACTCACACGCTCACACACTCATGCGCTCGTATCAAGGAAGTCTCGAGCGGGAGCCTCGCGTGTGAGTCAGTTGCGAGGAAGTCTCAGGCGGGATCCCCCTCCCTATGGGGACTGCGCTCATGTCATGAATCCGAGGCGGCCCGCCAGGATTCCATTTCCAGTACTGACCAGAGCCAACTGTAGGCCACTCCGTGCTCTTCTGGTTCCCAGAGCTCCCCCTTCCGAGGCCCGAAGTCACACTTCTGGAGCCAGCTGTATGCTTCTTCGGGTTATTTCGTGCTTCTTAAATCTCATTTGTGGGGCAAGTCCTGCGCCTTCTTCGTCCTCCTCCTCCTTCTCCTCTTCCTCCCCCTCCCCCTCTTCCTCCCCCCCTTCCTCCCCCTCCCCCTCCCCCTCCCCCTCCTCGTTCCCCTCCCCCTTTCCGAGGCCCGAAGTCACACTTCCAGAGCCAGCTGTATGCGTCTTCGGGTTCTTTCGTGCTTCTTTAGTCTCATGTGTGAGACAAGTCCTCCGCCCCCTTTGTCATCCCCCTCCTCCTCCTCCTCCTCCTCCTCCTCCTCCTCCTTCCTCCCACTCCTCCCCCTCCCTCCTCCCTCCCCCTTCCCTCCCCTCCTCCTCCTCCTCCCCCTTCCCCTCCTCCTCCCCCTCCTCCTCCTCCCCCTCCGCCTCCCCCTCCCCCTCACGGCGCAGCAGGGACGACGAGCGGGGGCCGCCGCGCAGGCTCGCAGCAGATCTTCGCGATGACCGCCGCCTCCACCGCGCTCAACATCGCGGAGGTGCACCGCTCGGCCGCTCGGCCGCCCCTGCCAACAGCGACGTCCTCGCTCGCAGCTCGCGCCGGGGGGCAGACAGCTCTGCAGTCAGGGACAGCGATAGGGGGTGGTAGGCACAGGGGGGGGTACATCGATCCCCAATCGCCCATTGATCGCCGATAGGGGCCCGATAGCCCCACCCCGCCCAGGAAGGTGCGGATTCACGATTGGGAGCCTATCGCCGATCTATCGGCGATGTATCGCCGATTCCAGGTCGATGCATCCCCCCTATGCCTATCCCCCCGATCGTTGCCCCTCATGCAGCATGCTCAAGGAGTAGGCTGGTCCGCGGACCGGGGCTTCTCAGCGTCGGCCCCGGAGTGTCGAGCTAGCCGTCCGCTGCTCGCGCCCGCCGCACCGACTCCACCAGCACCACCGGCTCGCGCGGGGGGGGCAGACGGCTTGGCGGCATTTCAGAAGACACGGACCCGCAGATAGGGGTTCGATTCTGGAGCGCGGGGTGCTGAGCCGTCGATCGATCAGTATTCGAGGGCGGCCAAGAGGGGGGCGATGATATTTCCCCAGATTTCGTGGCGCCTCTTCTTATTTCATTACGTCCCTGGCCCCCCCGCTGGGCCGCGCACATGCCGCGGGTCATGATTTGCAGCCCCCCTCTTGGACACCCCCCTCTTGGCCGCTCCCAAAGTATCGCGGCGATTGGTCGGCTGATAACCGAGCAGCGGAGCTGTACCTCTCAGGATCGGTCTGGGCCACGTAGCTGTTCAGGCGAGGATCGCGATCAGGCTTCGCAGCATCTTGATTCGGGGGGCAGTTCTATGGGCGGCATGATTTGCCCCCCCCCCCCCCCCCAGAAACTGCTTGCACTCAGTGGCTTGTTCTGATCAGGGTCGGATTGCCCTGTTGCGCCGACATCGCGTGTCCGCGTGTCGGTGTCCACCATCCCCGGCTAGCCCAGACTTGCTCTATTGCTTGCTGTGATATCAATATGGTAGTAGTTGCCACTAGCACTGATTTCTGAGTGGCCACAGCGCTGTTGTGCCGACAGTGTGGGCATTTGCTCTGTAGCTCCTCTGCCCCCTGCCGTACCAACGATGTGGGTAGCTGCCAGGAGCTCCGATTTGCCCTGACTAGTCCAACAACACCAGTGGTTGCCAACTGAATACAGCAGACTAGCCCCGCCTGCTGACAAGCATGAGTGCTTATTATATAGCTTGAGTGTCTGCTCGCTGGCTTGCTTGTACGCTCGCATGCTTTGGCGATAGTGTGCTTTCATGCTTGCTTGTTTACTGTCTCTAAGCCTGCGTGCCTTTCATTCTGGCCCGGTCGCTTGCGTCACTGCTTGTTTTAAGGGCGCCCTCGAGGGCGCGAAGTTATTCGCGCTTCGGGCTTCGCGGTTCGGCTCCGATTCCTCATCATCCTCTTCTTCTCCCCTGGGAAGCGTCGCGCGATCGCGAAGTTATTCGCACTCCGCGCTTCGCGCAGCTCGAAGCGCGAAGTTGGGAGCCCTTGTTGTTTACATGGTTGTTGGCGTGCCGTCTCCGACACACCCAAATTCATGCTTCGCCGGTCCGTTTGGTCCGACACGCGGCCTCGCGTCTGGGGAGGGCGCCTCGGCCACCAGGGCAGACCCCGCATCGGACGCAAGGCTTGCCGTGGGTTTGCCGCGGTGCGGGCGTCGTTTGCCTCGGGCGCGGGGCGGAGGGTTTGCCGTGGGCTTCCTGTGGTGCCAGCGTCGTCCTCTATGGCGCGTGGCGGCGGCGACATGTTTCAGGTCCAGTCGCCGAGATCATCTGGACAGCCTTTGCAGTCGCGATCTGACCACAAGTCGCACTTACAACCACCCTTATTCTGTGCTAGTGCCCCCTCTCTTTCTGTACGATAGCTTCGCGTCGTGTCGACTGGAGGCGACCCCGCCGCCAGCGGTCAACGTTGAACGCTGGGTCGATGTTGAACGATCCTGACGTTTCGGAAACGGCCGATCTTTCAAGGCTGAACGATCCCCGCGGTGTCAGGAACCAACGCCGAAGTCGGCACGACACGAACCTGCCGTACCCATTCGGCCAGTGCAAGAGTTTTGTGGCCTTTTCGAATGACCCGTCGGACACGTTCGGGCTATGATCTCAACTGTGTACGATCTTGCAGGGCACTGGTGATATACCGCATGTGTGCCATTGGCGGGGCAGATTCCGAACCGCTCCTAACGGGGGGGTTCTGCGGAGGCCGAGTTTAGGGGGTGCGGAGCTGATTGTTGACAGGCTGACGTCAACCATTCTGGCATGGTGCGATCTGATGCTGCCGAGCGACGTGTTAACCCATCATTGGCGCTATGGTGTTCTGCAGCTCTTGCCTATACGAAAAGGGGCCGCCCCGTGAACGTTCTACGGGAGATGCCGACTCAGTGTGTAGGGGGAGCTTGGACGTACAGACTTTGACAGTTGGAGAGACGATTCGAAGGGCCAGGCGGCTAATGGCTGGATGCTTTGCGATTGATAAGCGTGAGTGCGCGAAGATAAGCGGCTGTACATGAACACGAGAAGGAGCTCCCATGTTGCGAGCGTGCCGTAATGACAGCAGGGGGCGCAGGTGCTAGGATCCTCGTTGGGCGCGTCGCTCTACCACTACCACGGGCAGCGCACCGTCTTCTGGAGGGGCGTGGGGAGGGTGGGTGCAGAAGCTAAGCATGGGGTCGGGGCTGTAGGTGGTCATTACCGTTGTCGGACCACGTGGGAGAAGCGATGATTTCGAGCCAGTGTGCTACGACGATCGGCGGCGATTCCCGACTTGAAGATGCATCGAGTTGACGAACATGTTTTTTAACCCAGACGGATGCAACAATGCTCGATGGCGAGGTGCAGCGAGAGAAAAAAGCAGACGCAACAATGGCCACTTGTATGGCTTGGTTGCCCAGGATCGCTCCTCATCGGACGTTCCGAGGAGATGTAGACAGGTGTGCAAAGTAGGGGGTCAGACGGGAGCACGGTAGCCTTGAAGTGACGTAACGATGGATCACTTGAATCTCGGTGGTCATATCGTGAATGCTCTATCCGTCAGGAGGTCGACACCGAGGCTTGCCACGGCAGCATGTTTCTCTAGATTCGAGGCAGTGAGCGGCACAACGATTGGTTTCGGTTGGGCTGGCCGGTGGAAGCGGATCGAAGTCAATTGAGGAGATTCGAGCAGTCGACGGGCAAGACTCACGGGCAAAGTCCCCCAGAACCCACGTCGTTACTCTCCGAGTCCTCGTCTTACCCAGCCCATCGTCTTCAAGGCGTACTCCGGACGGGTCTCAGGTCGTGCAATCAAGCACGGTGGGCAAGGTGCACATGTTTACAGGGAGTCTGGAGGCAGCTGCGCTCGCGATTTCACCACTTGGACTCATGGAAACTACGTGGATGATGGTAGATGGCGATGGTGATGGTGTTGATGGTGCTGATGATGCTGATGCTGCTGCCGCTGATGATGCTGACGATGCTGGTGATGATGATGTTGATGATGCTGATGACCAACAGGATGCTGGTGAATATGACGATAATGCTGATGCTGCTGATGCTGATACTGATGCTGATGATGGTGCTGATACTGCTGCTGGTGATGATGATGATGATGCTGATGCTGATGCTGATGCTGCTGATGCTGATACTGCTACTGCTGTTGATGATTTTAATGGTTATGCTGATGAAGATGCTGATGCTGATGATGATGATGATTCGGATGCTGATGCTGGCGATGATGAAGAGCATGTCGACGATGCTGATGATTATGATGACGCTGATGATGACGATGATGATGACGACGATGCTGATGGTGCTGCTGGTGACGCTGATGCGGTGGATGGTGTTGGTGATGCTTATGATGATGCTGATGACGGTGATGATGATGCTGATCTTGATCTTGATGATGATGGTGATGATGACGATGGTGGTGATGATATTGTTGATGATGAACATGCTGATGGCGACGACGCTGATGCTGCTGCTGATGCTGATGCTGCTGCGGCTGATGATGACACGTATGCTGCTGATGATGATTATGAGGATGAGGATGATGATGTTGAAGATGTTGATGATGATGGTGCTGATATCGATGGTGGTGATGGTTATGGTGCAAGTGTTGATGATTCGGATGCTGATTCTGGCGATGATGCTTGTGATGCTGCTGCTGTTGGTGATGGTGATGTTGTTCATGATGATGATGCTGATTTTGATGGTGCTGATGATAATGCTGATGTTCATGATGATGATGGTGTTGACGATGCTGATGATGCTGATTATGATGATGTTTGCTGACGCTGATGATGACGATGCTGCTGATGTTGATGGTGGTGATGATGACGATGACGATGCTACTGATGATGATCATGATGACGCGGATGATGAATTATGACGACGATGATGACGATGCTTCTGATGATGATGTTGATGATCATGATGAGCATAAGGATGCTGATGTTGATGCTGGGGATGATGCTGATGCTGATGCTGCTGCTGATGATGCTGTTGGTGGTGGTGGTGATGAAGATGATGATGACGATGATGATGATAATGATGATGATGATGATTATGCTGAAGATGATGATGATGATGATGATGATGATGATGAGTATGATGATGATGATGATGATGATGATGATGATGATGATGATGATGACGATGACGATGACGATGACGATGACGATGATGATGATGATGATGAGATGATGATGATGATGCTGATGCTGATGCTGATGATGATGATGATGATGATGATGATGATGTGATGGTGATGGTGATGTGATGATGATGATGATGATGATGATGCTGATGATGATGTGCTGCTGATGATGATGATGATGATGATGATGATGATAATGATGGTGATGGTGATGGTGAGGGTGATGGTGATGGTGATGATGATGATGATGATGATGCTGATGATGATGATGATGATGATGATGATGATGATGATGATGAGATGATGATGGTGGTGGTGGTGGTGGTGGTGGTGGTGTGGTGTGGTGGTGGTGGTGGTGATGATGATGATCGTACTGATGCTCATGAAGAATGTTGATGATCGAAGACGCCTACGGCGAATCACCGCCGCCCCCTGCCTTTGTGGAAGCGCCTATGTGGCCGAACGTTGAGGCCAGACCTGCCAAGCCATCGGACCATGTGTTCCCCGAATCGGTTTGGAAAGCCTTCGGGGAACACGTGGGCGTCTTGATGGTCATCGTCGTCGTCTTGGAGGCCTCTTGGGCGATCTTTCGGCGATCTTTGGGGGCTCTTGGGCCGTCTCGGGCCGTCGGAAGGCCGAAAGAAGGGAAATGCCCAAATCCATCAAAAACCTTGGGAAAATCAGTGATTTTGGCATCTTTTGGCCTTCCTGGAGGCCCTCTTGGGGGCCTCTTGGGCCCTTTTGGGCCAGCTTCGAGCCAACTTCGGCCATCTTGGTGGGTTCCTGGCACGTCTGACGCCGTCGGGAGCCGTTTTGGGGGCCTTTCTGGGCCAACGGGGGACCCTCTTGGGGCGCTCCAGGGCCGTCTTGGAGGCCATCTTGGGCGTCTTGGAGGCCATCTTGGGCGTGTTGGAGGCCTCTTGGGCCGTCTTGGGGCCCTCAGGGGCCATCTTGGAGGCCACTTGGGCCATCAGGGGGCTCTCTTGGGGGCCTCTTGGGCGATCTTGGGGGCTTCTTGGGCCGTCTTGAGCCGTCGGAGAGCCGAAAAGGCGCAAATGCCAAAATCCTTCAAAAACCAATGGAAAATCAATGATTTTGCCCTCTTCGGACTCTCCTGGAGGACCTCTTGGAGGCCTCTTGGGCCGTCTGGGAGGCCTCTGGGGGGCCTCTTGGGCCGTCTTGGGCCGTCTTGGACTCTCTTGGGCCGTTTGGAGGCCGTCTTGGACCATCTCGGGCGGACTTGGAGGCCATCTTGGGCCATCTTCGCGATTTTTTGAGGATGTCCCGAGCGAAACGGCCGTTTTTTGCGCACGGTGGCGGGTTCTGCCGGAGCCCACTGGGGAGTTCTTTTGGAAAAAGAACCAAAACCAAAACCTAACAGCTCGTCCAGCACGCCGTGCACCCCTGCAAGCAGGGGGCGGCGGATCTAATGGCCTTCGGTTCATCCCGCCACCGTACCTGGGTCGTGGGTCAGAGTCCTCCGGTATGCTTCTTGGAATCTCTTCGTAGCGCTCTCGGTGGCCTCTTTGAGGCAGTTTTGCGGCCTCTTGGGAGCCTCTTCGGGGCCTCTTGGGAGCTTCTTTGGGGCCTCGTAGGGCTTCCTGAGGGACTCTTGGGGGCCTCATTGGTCCTCTTGGCGGCCTCCTGGGGACCTCCTGGGGCCGACGGCTCGAACTGTCCGTTCGGATCCCATGTCTGGGCTCCCTCTCGGAGCCGTCTTGGGAGCCTCTTGGGCCGTCCTGGAGGCCTTTTGGGCCGTCGTCGGGCCCAGGCGGCCTTGGGGCCCTCTTGGATGCCTTTTTGTGCCGTCTTTGGACGATTTGGGAGGCCCCCTCTTGGAGCCGTCTTGGGGTTATCTTTGGCAGCCTTGGGCTCCTCTTGGGCCGTTTTGGGGCTGTCTTGAGCTGTTTTGGGGCCCTCTTGGAGGCCTCTTGGTCCGTCTTGGGGCGATCTCCGGGGCCGCTTCAGCCGTCCTGAAGAGTCGGGAAGCCGAAAAGGCGAGAACTACCAAAACCTTCAAACACCCTAGGAAAAATAATGATTTGTACCTCTTGAGGTCCTCTGTGGAGGCCCCTGGAAGGCCTCTTCGGGCGTCTTAGGGGCATTATGTGTCGTCTTGAGGCCATCCTGGGGCTCTTGGAGCGATCTTTCTGCGACTCGGGCCGTCTTGGGGCCTCTTGGGGCACTCTTGGCCAATCTTCAGGCTGAAAAGGTTATGCGAGAAGACGCCCTGGGTCCCGGGGGCCACGCGAAGGTCCCTGGGGCCCCTGAAGCAAGCCCAGGGAGAATTGGTTATCTGGGTCCGGGCCCCTGATGGAATCCTCAGGACTGGGGACTGATGATTGACATTTGGGGGTCCAACAAAGGACCAACGAGCACTCCAACTCGTGGTGGTGGTGGTGATGGTAGTGGTGGTTGTAGTGACGATGATGATGATAGGGTAATAGCGGAGTGGTCTGGGAGCAGTGCTCGGCTCAGCCACCTTGCATTCGGCGTGCACTGTCGCAAGGGCCCCGCGGGGCCCAAGCCAGACCCAGGCGACGAGGGACGGGCCCCAGACGCCAGACAGGGGCAGCCCCCCGCTATGACCCCTGGTGTCTGAGGCCACCAGGAGCATCGCGGTCAGGCCGCCCCCTTCCGCCCGAGCCCTTGCGGGCTCGGCGGACGTGAGAGCTCCCGGACCCCGACGGAGGACCGCCGACGGCCGCCTTGGGGCCGTCGGCCGACATTTTCGAGCCGCGTCCAGCGGGTCTAATCTTCGCGCCCTCAGGCCGACCCGCGGCTCGAATGGCGTGCAGCTGGCTCCGGCGGCTCAGCCAGGTCGGCGCCCCGCCACCGCCGTCGGCCGCGTCGAGCCGCCTGGCCGCCCGCCTCGGCGCGGGCGCCTCACGGGGCGCGCCGCCAGCACCGCCGCCGCCGCCGCCGGCCTCGTCGGGCCGCCTGGCCTCCCGCCGCGCTCGCCCTCCAGCCGCGCCGCCCCGCGGTGGAGCCGCGC